GATAGCAAGTCGGATGCATCAGAACTTTTTGAAACGATGCAATGAGACGCCTTTATTTATCCCTCTTGTTTCAGGTTTTGACAGTTTTACTGATTGGATTGTCCTGCCTGGGCATAGCCTTTGCGCAGCAAGCAAGTAGCCCCCCTACGCAATCATTGAATTGGTGGAACCGTTCCATTTGGGACAACCCAGACCGTGGCGCACTGTGGTATGCGCCAGAGCGCCCTGCCCCGCCTCCCGACGTCCCTACACCTCCACCGGAGGAGCGTACTGAGGCGAGTAAACCGCCAGAAGTGATGCAGATGGAGGCAATCAAAGCCAAGCTGGAAGAGTTGCGCACGGTCGCTATCATCAACCCAAGCAAAGAGAACATCCGCGCCTACATTGCTTTCCAGGAAGAGCAAATGCAGCGCAGCTCGGTTTTTGCCGACTCTTGGCGCCGTGTCCTCTGGGAGAACCCAGAGTTGGACTACTCCATGAAGTCCAGACCCACGAATGCCACGGCCCTCAATACTTGGGATAAGCAATATGGCCAAACCGTTAAAGCCTCTCTGTCCGACTTGGCTCAGACCCACGGTATTTACTTCTTTTTCCGATCAGACTGCACCTATTGCCACGTCATGGCACCGACCCTGAAACTTTTGGAGCAAAAGTACGGCATCAAGGTGATCGCGATTTCGCTCGACGGCAAAGGCATTAGCGAGTTTCCGAATTTCATCGTGGATCATGGTCAAGCTGAGCAGCTAGGGGTCAAGGCCACGCCGAGCTTTTTCCTGGCGCAGCCCGGTTCTAAAACGGTTTTTAACCTCGGCAGTGGCGTAATTGCGCTCAATGACCTGGAAGATCGCATCTACACCCTCGCCTACACCCAAGCCGGACAGAAGTTCTAGTCTCTAGTCAAAAGTAACCCTGAATAACCGAAAGTAAGGACTATGCCTACGCCCCCTTCCTGCACCATTTCCAGCGCTCCAAAATCGCCAGACCGCAAATCGTACAAGCGATTTGTGCTTGGCTGCGTACTGGCTTTACTCGTATCTGGTGGAGCCCATGCCAACATCAATGATGATTTGACCAGTTTCTTTAACCAAATGGGCGGGCAAAGCAGTCTGTCAAATGGCACGGATGCGGGCGCATTTCAGGGGCAAGCGCGCAATTTGTACACCGGCGGGAGTTTTTATGCCCGTCTGCCTCAGCAAAACTACAACCTGGTCAACGCGGCCTTACCAGAGATCAAGTCCGGTTGCGGTGGCATAGACTGGTTTTTAGGCTCCTTCTCTCACATCAATAAGGAACAATTTGTTCAGATGTTGCGCAATGTGGGTAATGGTGCGCTGGGT